CTACCTCCTGAGCCACAGCCGCCCCATAATGGCACAGAGCTTCGTATCTGAACATGTTTTTTATATTATTGGCCTTAGAAGATAAATCCATAAAGCACATAAAGTCAAAGGAGCACTGATTTTAATAAGGTTACATAAAGACATTAGTTTTTAAAAAGACATTGAGAGACATTCTGCCCTGCAGAGGAGGAACCTTTATTAGTGAGATATTCTGTGCATGATTAGTGTGCATTTTATTATTTTTAAAAATGTCTGTAAGTACATGTAAAAAAGGTAAAAAATTATCACATTTTTGAAAATGAACCAGGGAAGAGAAATTACATAAATTAATAACATTCTTGAAACATTCGATTCTGCCTCTTAAGGTTTTACATTTGAACAGAGGACTGTGTGCCCTTTAATCTCTATCCTTTTATTTTCATGAGATTTCACAGTAATTGCTTTGGCATTTTATGTTCTCTTCAAAAGAAAAAAAGCAGTGTACAGTGTCATATCATTCATTCCATTATCTTTCCTTATATTTCATGATTTGAGAAATCTCAGATTCAAACTGTTTTTCAAAAAAGCAGTCCTGGTTTAGTCCTGGAAGATATTTTATAATATGGGAGTTCCTCTTGGATAAGGATAAAAGCAGCAGTGACAGATATTCCTGCAAGAAAGTGACAGGGCACCTTGTGTTTTCCAGCTGCTTGCACATAGGCTTTCTTGTTTTTTGTCTTAGGAATCTTGTAGTTTTTGATGGATTTTCTGTGTGTGTGAAACGAAGCATGCTTCAGACCATACCTGTCCTTGCTGTCTGTTTCTATAGCTCTCTGTGCAAGATTTTGCTAAACATTACAAAATTATTTGCTAGGTTTGTATTTGGTGCCAGAGATTGTGTGATTTTCATAAAATCTACCTGCATTACATGTTCAAACAATCATATCAGCTCCAAGCAAGGCTGAGTTTTTTCCCATTTATCGTTGGTCACTGTTTTAAGCAAACATTTCACATAATCTGTTTAATGCCATCAGCCTTGTGATTTCCCCAACATTTTAATTCCCCTCTTGTTAATTTCAGTCTTCTCTGTATCATCATTTATTGTGCCTAACATCTCACATGTTTCACCCACAGTTAATTCACACAGTAACTAAAAATTAATGGAAAAGGCTTTTGAACAAACTCAGCCAGTCAGAGCTGAAGACCAGAACTACCTGTTTTATAACTGTGAAATAATGATGACATTTATTGGATGGATGGAGTCAGTGGAGCAATGAGAGCAAACAACCATTAGTAACTCTTTGCCACTTGAATAGACAGGTCTTATAGCAGGCACACAACCAAAAATATGGAGTCAGATTGTGAAAAGAAGGAACACATAGACAGACAGTACTTACACACTTAATATAGTCCACAGGCAAAAAGTATACCCTCTCCAGGTCTCCCACTGAGTTTGACTTCCTGTGCCTGAGAGGTCACTCAAGCTCAGGAACAGTTATTATTGGATAAAAGGACTACTGATCAACCAGCCAATGTTTAACAAGCACTTTAATGACCTGTTACACCAATAACTTCTGGTTAGTTGACTTCAGTAGGAGCATTTACTTATCTGTTTGCAATCTGAAATCAATTTCTACCCCACAATATATTGCTCTGCATTTTATTACCTTGCCACATGTCCTGCTTTTCACACTCATTCATTAAACCAGATCATTATTTAACAAACTAAGACTATCTCTTAACTATCCCTGACTGTTGATTAATTTGTTTTACTTGCCTTGAACAAATGTTGATCATGCTAGAGATATAGTTTCCAGGAGAAATTCCAGTGGCGTAGTCATTTTTATTCTTAAAGTGACTATAATCAATAGTTTACATTACGATGTATCATGTGATTATATGTGGAAATGGGGTCAATGCTAGGGGCATCTCCTTTATCATGCAGTGGACACAAGGTTAACGGTATCAACTCATTACAACAACATTTAGACATTAATAATGGATAGCTTATCATGTTGTATGAGCTGGTCCCACAGTGTTTTCCTAACATTTTATTAAGAAGGCCTATGTGACCCACAGGGTAGTTAATCAACCATCCAAGGCTGCAGGGAACAATGAGGTGCATTATTGCACATTTCCTAACAAACTTGAATGTTCGGAGAGGTAAAATGTTTGTTTTATTACCAAAAAGAACATCTCAGTTGGATTTGATTGCTGCAGTGTGTGCAGGCTGGTCAGACAAACTTGTGCAGATGCCATTAAATGAGCAGAGCTGGAGTCACAGTCAGTATTCTGGTATTTTCTTGCAGTCTGAGAAAACACCCCAAATTTGATTTAATTTGGAGCATACCGTTGGACACAACCTCAGAAACAGCCCCCTGACAGACTGAGCTGCTGCTTACGAGCTTGGGTCTCCTGCTGTCTCCTTTCTCAAACAGATTTCTCTGAGACGTTTGTTTTCCACGTGTGTAGCTTTTGGTTGAGAACAAAAGATTATTGGGTTTGTGTCATTACACTGTTTCCAAAAATGACCTCATCCTAGTTAACGACAATATAAAAATGCAAAAAACACCCCCAAATAGGTTGGGTTTTTTTGCCCCGTTGGGTTGGGCCAAGCTACCATACTGTTTGCTTGGTAAATATTACTCAGTCTGTGGTTGGGTTTGTCTGCAGCAAACAACAGCCCACCAGGGAGGATGTCAGCAAGGAAAGTGCGGCTGTGGCTCAGAAATGGAGAGGAATATCAGTGGTGTTGTGGTTTTACAGTATGGGGGTCCTTTTCGTCTTTTTTAAGAATATATACGGTCCGAAAAGCATACATTTATTAAGTCTACCTCACCCACACAATACCTTTAAGTCATCTCCTTTTTCCTTGGAATCAGTACAATGTGCATGACAATAAGTTCTATGTTCACTGAAAAAAGTCTTCAAAGAAGCTCTTAATCCCAAGATACTGCAGCTGAGTAGATTCTCTTGCTGACAACCACATCAAACGAGCTCTGTCTCTCCCTCATTCCTCCACTTTGGAGCATGGTTGTCCCATCTTTATTACCCCCGTTAAAAGCACTTCATCTGGGGCCTCAGGTAGGGTTTCCACTTCCCGGTTGTCACAGTTATGGCTCATTAAAGAGCTCTCTCTCTCAGCATGAAGGAAACTGACTCCCCCCAGATCCCCTCATGTGTGTGGGTGCTTAACACTGATACTGCCGCCAATACACATCTTGTCTGCATTACCATTAACCCAGACAGAGGGCACTCTAATGATTGTCAGATGCTGCATTGTGCCAGTAATGTCTGAGTTGTTAATCAATTCACTGTTTGAATGCATAAGGGTCACTGCAGCTGGTTGTGTTGTAATCCTTTTTTACAGTCAACCTAATTAGAATAAATAAGTTAAAATAGGTAATTTATTTGTTACGGTTGCCAAATTACTGAGTGTGTGATGTTTACGATTTAAAATAAATTGTCTATCACTAATACTAAGACCCTTTATAAATATTTCGTTATTTTATAAAGAGTATTGTCTAGACCTCCTCTATATGAAAAGTGAAATGAGATGACATATGACAAATTTCATTGAATTAAGTAGAATTTTTATTTTGGGACAAGTGTGCTGGCTCTTGGACCGCATTGTCTTCTCTGCATGTTAGCTTTGCAGCGGAAGCTCTAGTTACCTTACTTGTTGTGTTGTTGTTTGCTCTATATCATGGTATTCGTCATGGTGTTGGAGTTCTCCAGAAGCACTTACTCCACCTTTTTAAGTATCAAAATAAAAGAACTAAGGAGACAGCTGAGTGGCCCTTACCAGTGTCACATGGATTACTATTATGGATGCATTAAAATACAAGCAGCATTTTAATGTAGCTGGTTGATGTGGAGCTAATATTACTTTACATCTTGTTGGGTATAGCTGAATCAATGACAATGTCATATCATATTTTATGAGGTGATCATATGTTCTATAGGCTAAATGTTTATCAGCCAAGAAAGTAACTCATAACTATGTATGTACTAACAAATTAATGTAGAGGAAGAACAATTTAACTGTGAAATGTAGTGAAGGAAAAGCACTTAAATTCAGAAAATGTACTTGCTTTCCACGGCTGCTGTCACTAACATGACCCACAGATACTCACTGGCACCTGCAGACACGCACTGTGACCCTTCTGAGGTTAATATTATAAAATATCCTGGGTCATCATTTATCACTGGTCCAGTCAATGAGTGTGTCTGCCTTGATGCTCTTTGAAGACTAGGTACATAGATCTGCCCCACAACCTTTCTAACAGACAGTAAGTCTCGACAGTAAGGTTGTTGAGAGGTTGACTCTGGAAAAGCTGATGCTCCTGCTATTTAAAGCAGAGAATCTCTGGCCTTTGGTGTCACACAGATGATGTATCATTGTGGACAGAGCTGAGCCAGAGAGATGGTGATCCTCTATAATGCTACCGCTTTGCCACATTTTATAACAGGTCAGCTCCATCATCCAGACCTATCCCTGGGGACTTGTACGCCACCTTCTCAACCGGCAGAGATGCTGATACACATGACAATGCAAATCCTTTGACAAACATGTCAGTGTTTCTAAACATATTTTTCCTGTGATAATGTATGAGAGTTGGTGTGCTGCTGAGCTCAGGAGTGCTGCTGCAAGAGAACAGCAGGAAAGGTTGTGCAAAGTGAACCATTCTCGGTCACATGGCAAATGTGCAGTAACATTTAAACGTGTTTTTAATGCACGTGGACTGTGTGCCTTAAACCATTAAACCAGGCACAATTTTAACATGAAACCTAATTGTAAAAAAAAAAAATTTATAAAACATTGTGACTACATTAGATTCTGCACCATATACAGTGAAAATAAAGTATTTTGATGTATCTATTCAACGTAAATATTCCTTATTTAGCATTTACAATCAAAACTAACATTCATCTAACATCGTACATTTAGTTTAATGATGTAAGCATAATACTCTGTTTGGGATTTTTCTTCTGATCAGTCTGTTCTTCATTATCCACAGGGAACCATTTTCTTACCTGGAAACAAAGTTACAGAGCATGCAACCAGCGGCGATGATGGGGGGAAATTTCTCTTCGAAGTCATTCCAGGTAGGAAAAGATGAAAGCAATGGAATCACTTTTTTTTAAAATCTTTACTAAGGACAAAATGATGATAGCAATGTCGGCTGGAGCACGGGCAGGAACAAAAACATCTGCAGCAAATACATTTGGGCAAATTCTTAAACACTGTGAGAATCATCTAGGGAAGAATTTAGCCATTAACTGATTGTTTACATGCTGCTTAAAAGGAAGTCATATGTTGTGAAATTGTGATTACTGTAATGTTACAACATTCTTTCTCTCTTGCTTTCCAGTTCTAGCACTCTGACATTGTTCTTATTTTGTTCTGCCTCTTATTATAAAGAGGCTCAATGAAGAGCCACTGACAGGTTGACTGAAGTTGAAATTTACCATTTTTATGACCCAAATTTGTTTTTTATTGGAAATTTGCTCATTTGTTTTGCCAAGAGTTAGATGAGAAGACTAATACCACTGACATTTAAAATGCACACTAAACATGAAGCTTTAGCCAGCAGGTGGTTAGCTTAGCTTAGTTTAAAGCCTGGAAGCAGGGAGAAATAGCTGGCCTATATTGAGCTATTTTAGTGTGAGCACAAATTGAATCTTAATGTAATATTTTTGAATTTGGAATGTTCAAAGTGAATATTGTACGCTACATTTGAAATTGAACAGTAGCTGTGTAGTCTCTCCTACCATATCTTGGTTTACATGTCACCAGACCTAAATAAGGCTTTGTTTCAGCATGTGCAAGTTGAAAAAAAAGGTTTAATACATTTATACATATGCTAATACACTTACATGTGAGTTGTGAAGTGCAGCAGGTAGGGCTGTGCGATATGACAAAAAAATAATATCTTGATTTCATATCCCAATAATGATATATATGCCGATATAAAACATTTTTTGTAAATTCAATAAAATATCATGAGTTACTGTTAATGAGTTAATTTCCAACATTAACTCGTGATATTTCTCTGCATCATAATAATTCATGCAATTCTGGAGGAATCCATTAACATGACAAATCCAATGATATAGAGTGAACAATGACACAGCAACGTAGCTAAGTGGGTTAGCAGCAAACTGTCGCTTCTTGCTGCTGCAAAGCTAACGAGAGGACAAGCTGGTCCAGAGCAGCACAGCAGCTCACCTGTTGCTATATCTAACATCACAACAACAGCATGTCTTGGTCAACTAGACTAGATGTCTGTGGGCAAGCCATTAAACGTTACCTGACACACACATAGTGGCTGGAACTGCTGGAAAAATGTTGCATGGTTCAACAGACTTCTCTCAAGGTATGAGCTCCTAGTTTTTGCTTGCATGATCTGATTCCTCCTGTTCAGTATTACCCGCTTCTGAGTAAATAAAACTCCACGTTTTGTTTATCCCGAATGCAAATTTCTTTTCCGCAGCACGGCATATAAGAACGGACCGCGGTGAAGTAAGTTTCAAGCTGGATATTAGTTTTACGTTGGATGTTTGATAGATGAAATTGAAATTTTAAGAAACTGAATTTTAAGAAACTGAATTTGAGAAACTGAATTTGGAACTCAAGAGTTCAGAAATTTTGCTGAGAAGGTGGCTTACAGTAAAACACTGACCACACATGCATACTCCCACACATAAACTCAAAGGCCAATACAGACGCCAGAAGACTGTATGGAAACATGGTCGGATACAACACAAAGGAATAGTGGGGTATTTTCCCAGGCGGAGCAATGCCAGGAATGTGAGTCTATGGAATAGATATTTAAAACACACATGTACACTGGGGAAATAGAGACAGCTGTTAAAAGATACAGTAGCAAAGTGCATTGACACCACCATCCGTCTACAGTAAAACCCAGTAGAAAACACAGGATGTGTGCAACAGCTACTTGTATTTTGTATTTTGATATTTTCTCTGCTGTGTATCCACTACTGTTTTTCTCAGAGGAAATCTAAATATGAATATCAAGACATTTTTTCATGTGATTTGTGGCTCCCATTAGACACACACAAACTCAAAAACAATGTGACCCGGCAGATAATGATGAAAGTTCATCCAAACATTTGTCAGTGAAAGCTAAATTAAAGACTGCCCAGAATGAGCCAAAATTAGACAAGTAATCTGGGCAGTTGGCCAGAACTGACAGATGAAAAGTCCAGGTGTGTCGCAGGTTAACCTTGATAGCGTTTTAGTTTTTGAATGCTAATGACTTTGCTGGTTGTCAAATAGTTTCCACATCAGATCAGGATTATCTCTTAATCCTGTACTTTCAGCTGCTACTTTTCACTCCAGCTATTCCATGTTCACATTGAAATGAAGCAAAGTCAACTTGTCAACTTGTGATTAATAGTTCTCATGGTTGGAGGTGGTTGTGTTATAGGAGTAACGAAACAGTTTAGTTTACGCACTATTTTTCTAAATGCTTGTGTGCGTATGCAATGGAAGAAAACATTTGATGTATCAGCACACATGTAGTGGAACAAAATTTGTTTCTAAATATAAAGCAGGACATACTGTCTAAAAGCAATTAAAAAAAGCTAATATGTCAGGAAGTAGGAACAAAAGGGATGTTTAAATCTTCACTTCTCTTTTTGAAGCCATGCACTTCAGCTGAAAAACAGCCACACAACAAATAACTAAGTTGTCTATTTTTAGAATTGTATTTTATTCTGCTGACTGAGCTGGCACAGAACTGATTTCCCACACCCAACTTTACTTTGAGAAGTCCATGACCAGAACATATGATTTTAAGTTGCAGAATGTTGGTAACGTCTGCTGATACATTTTAGCCAGCTTTTCTCTCGAAAGATGATGACGGTGAAATATTTTTGATTGCTGAAGGCACTGCTGAATAAGATGATCTGACCTGTGCCAAGTAGCCAGACAGCAGAGTCTTGTTGCCATGCAGTTAGAATTTCGTAGTTAGATTTTAAGTACAGTAAAAAATGAGTCACATGCCTCAGTGACTGATTAGACCACCTTTCAGTCTCAGTTTTAGTTCCCCCTTTCCCGGTGCTACAGTATATGTTGTTGTTTTAGCACACTGTGAAATATATTATTTTCATGTACAACCTTACTGTTGAGACATATTGTTACATATAACAGTTTGTGGTGTATTAACACATTTTCAGGTTCTCTTGATTTATGAGACTTTGTGTATTCCAGTCTCCACCACTACAAACAGCTTTCTTTTTTTTCTTCTATAGCTTCTGTAAAAATGTTGAAAGAAGAGGAAATTTGAAATCCAGTGACTCAATTGTCTCCTTCTGCAATAGTAGTCATAACAGAATTTCCACAATACAGCAGGTGCTGCTCCCAGCTGCCATATTCCACTTAACTCACCTTAAGGGATATCATCTGTTGTAGTATATTGGCTATCTATGTTGGATATGGAGGTTTTTGTGTCTTTTGTGGCACTTAGTGACAGTTAATGTGATCAAATATTGGTGTTAACTGTGTTATGCAGCTCATGTCATTGCTTTAGTACTGTATGACTTTGAGGCCATGGGGAAAATGTACTACAGTTCCTGATATAGTACCATGTGATGCATTTTCAGTTTTTGCTATCAACCAGTAAAGTGTTCACAATAGCTTCACTTCAGTTGTCTTGTTTAATATAGGGAAAGTGAATGAAGTATAAAAAGGCAAAATACTAATACTGTAAAGGATGTGCTAGCACAGTGCAGTTACAGTGTAAAAATAATCCTAAATATGTATGACAATATATTAGTTACCATTTGTGAATAAATAAGGACATACAGCGGTTCAACAGGACAGGTCCCACTCAGAACAGGCCTCGTCATGGTCGACCAAAGAAGTTAAGTGCACGTGCTCAGCATCATTTCCATAGATTGTCTTTGGGAAATAGACGTACGAGTTCTGCCAGCATTGCTGCAGAGGTTGAAGGGGTGGGGGGTCAACTTGTCAACAGTTTGCTGAAAACAAGCAGACTAAGGACACGGATTACTGGAACCATGTCCTGTGGTCTGATGAGACCAAGATAAACTTATTTGGTGATGATGATGTCAAGCGTGTGGCTGGCAACCAGGCTGGCAACTGCAGCTACAGTTAATTGAGGGAGTCATGATCGCCTCCATTCAGAGACTAGACCCAGGGAAATTTTCCAACATGATAACGACCCCAAACACACCTTCAAGACGACCACTGCCTTGCTAAAAAAGCTGAGGGTAAAGCTGATGGACTTGCCAAGCATTTCTCCAGACTTAAACCCTATTGAGTATCTATGGGGTATCCTCAAACAGAAGGTAGGGGAGCGCAAGGTCTCTAACATCCACCAGCTCCGTGACTTTTGTCATGGAGGAGTGGAAGAGGACTCCAGTGGCAACCTGTGAAGCTCTGGTGATCTCCATGCCCAAGAGGGTTAAGGCAGTGCTTGAAATTAATGGTGGTCACACAAAATATTGACACTTTGGGCCCAATTTGGACATTTTCATCTAGGGGTGAACTTGGACATTAATGTTTGTGTGATGTGTTATTTTGAGGGGACAGCAAATTTACACTGTCATACAAGCTGTACACTCACTACTTTACATTGTAGCAAAGTGTCATTTCTTCCATGTTGTTACATTAAAAGATAGAATGAAATATTTACAAACATGTGAGGCGTTTACTCACTTTTGTGAGATACTGAAGATGACTTAGACTTTTTAAGTGTTTAGTGTTTATCCATATAATTTAACACATGATGTTTTCTTGGTATTTTATTAAACAAGACCATAAAACAGATGTCACTGAGGCCACAAGTTACAATTAAGGGATAAGGGTAAATGCTAAAGCATAGTATAACACCAGTACAAGTAGAGAGGAGTCATAAAGTCAGTAAACTGACTCAGAAAGGTCAGTTATATCTAGATAAAGTTTGCTTACATTAGCCATCATTAGCCACCATAAGCTGCTCTAGACCATGAAAGGCTGTAACAGCAAAAACTGAGTCAACATATTGCTTAAAAATTTTACCTATAATTTATAAGACAAAGTTCCTTTAATTTTGACTTTTAAACTTAGTGGTCTAGTC